TGGCGGTAAGAGATTTGCGGACAATGAAGAAGTAATCGAAGCTGTAAATGGTTATTTTGAGGAGCTTGACGAATCAGTCTATAGAGATGGCATTAATAGACTGGAACACCGCTATGAGAAATGTATCAGCCTTGGAGGAGATTATGTTGAGAAATAAAAAAAAAAAATTTTTAAAAACCTTGTTTTTCTTGGTCAGGCCGGAAACTTATCAATCCACCCTCGTAGGTATCATTAAATCTACTACTTAATCTACGTTAATTCTGTTTTTGGTTTAATATTTATAATTAATCGCAAGAGGCAGGACGTACCAGATTGACTTTTACTTGGAAGAAGTTAATTTGTTTGATATATATTAATTTTTTTATTTGCTGAAAAGGATATCAATCTTTAAACAATTACTGACGGAAAATAAGTGAACAACAGTAACACGCTTTTCAGAAATTATGATCGAATGCGAAAGACAATAAAAAGTAAGCAACAATTTAACTATACGTATATTCCTGTTAATAGCAGAGTTCGTCTGGTGAGGGTAATGAAAGATTATAAGTAGATGGAGACGTACTTAGATTGTTATTATTTCACTGAATACATAAAAATATTAAAAAGAGTAGAACTATTTTGTTTACTGTTTATACCAATTCTCAAATTATATAGCTTTATTGCAAAAGGACATCGTCGAAACCTGGATACTTGGATAATGCAACCTTAATTGAAATATTTTCATAAATAATTTTTGGTATAACGATCGTTATAATTTTAACTGAAGAAGCATCCTTTTAGATTATTTTCAAACGTTTCTCACCGATAATTGAGGAATTAGAAGAGGGGCACTTGGTGACAATTTTGAAAGATTATTGAGCTCAAAATGTCATGACATATTTATTGGTTACATTCTACAATAATATTGGATAAAGTAGTAACAGTAAAATAATTCAATATCTACTCCCATCACCCTGTCAAATAGAAATCAAACTAATTTTTCCAAAAAACTCACATCAATCTTTTAATTTTAATTCACTCCCTATGTCCTTTCATATAAAATACATGTGATACGCTACTGATTTAAACTTATACTGTACATTAATTGTTTGTTTCCTATATCCAGTTGACCAATTCTTATATCCGTTATTAGTTACTGACTCAACTGCATAGGTTGTTAGTAATTATTACATCCTCTTTACCAATTTTGATTTTATTTTTTATTTAAATTAACAATGTAACGGTTTATAATAACAGTACAATTTTTATTTTTATACCAGGTTAGTCATCTATACAAGGTCGATTCGTATGTTTTTTTTAAGTGTTTCGCTGGCATCATTGTATAAATTACTAATTACAGAACAATAGGTGTCCCCCATGGGCACATATTTATCTCTATTACGTGCGAGATGCCTACTTAGTTCACGAACAGTATCTACAATTGAATAGCCATAAGGATAAAAATCAAAATAAATACATTCATTGGTAAATTGTAAGAAACTGATCTTCGTTTTGAAGAAACGTCTAACATTTAGGTTTTTTTAACATTGGCAGATTCTAACCTAACATTTATTCAAAATTCAAACACGAGGCTAAAATCTAACCATAAAAAATAAATATATGTACTGTAATGTGTATAGTAGAAATATTGTTAATAATTGGGAAACAAACTTTAAAGAAAGTTCTGTTAAAAACAATATCTAAAAGTTTATTAGTTCGTAACACTTTACAGTTACATATTATTGCGTTACTTTATCAATTACTATTTTTTTTTTTAACGANAAAATTGATTAAGACGTTCGGTCACTAAAGCTTTGCGTCCCTTATCAATTTATTACGTTTAAGTACCTATAAAATTGAATAAAACGAGAAATGCATGATAAAACTAATTCAGTTTATAAAATCCAATGTACAGGTATTAGTTGTAATAGCTCATATGTCGGTCAAACCAAGCAACATCCAAAAATGAGATTTAATGAACGCAAAATTTTTATTCCTTTTCCTCTGCAAAGAGTATGGAGCACAGTAAAACTTCTAATATTACCAAAATATGTATATTTCAGTACCTATAACCGAAATTATAAATTTATACAGCCACTACTTACGTTTGTTCCGGTACCTACGCGTAATAGCATGACACACAAATTTGATCGAGGAAAAAAGACGATAATTTGTTTAAGTCACTCAAATAAGCTTTCTCTAAGGAAAATTTTAACGAAATTGAAAATTTTGAAATCGACCGTGACCTGTACAATACAACGGTAGATACTGTTAATTGTCCAAGTTTGGAAGATCGAAGTGGTAGGGCTGTAAAACAACAAAATATGATAGCGAGACGTTTGCCTTAATTTCTAAACGAAACAGGTGGCAAACAGCCCAGAAATTGTGGCAGATTTCAATAATTGCGGTGATGATGATATACCCGTAGAAACTACAAAAAGAAGCTTGCCGTGCGTAAACCACTTTTGCGACCACAAAATGACAAAAAACGAGTTCAGTGGGCTTAAAGGAACACAAAAATTGGATGATTGACGGTTTTTAGAAAGTTCTGTGGAGTCATCATCATAGAGTCGTCAATCCTAAAACTGATTGGACACGCACCACCACTCTTTTCTATCTTATGCTATCTTTACAATTCCCTAAAACTAGAACATACCACGTCCTTAACTATTTGTGAACAGTAATCTAATCCAGATCTGCCTCTTACGTCTTAAGTCCTGTTTCTACTCCTAATATGTCTCTAACTAGCACTTCAAGCCTGAGAAGTTGTCCTACCAACCTGGATGAAGAGATAAAATCCGATATTTTTATCATAAATGGGCAAACTTATCTGAGATATTTAGTGAATAAAAAAATGTCTGCCTGCATTATTCAAACTGTTAAAGATGAAAGAAATTGTGCAAGGGTTGGAGTCAGTCAGTTCTTCTGGGCCAAGGGAATTTTGGAAGACAATAGTACCACAGTATACTTTCAGTAAGAAAACTGTTATGCAACAGCAAGAAAATGGTCTTAAACATAGTTGACTGGTTTTGTCAAAAATATTGTAAGAAAAAGGAAAAAGGTGGTATAGTAAAAATTATGATTTGGTCATCTCAGCCACCCAATTTGACCCCAATTATTATGGGAAGGGGATGCCCATAAGACTAGGAAACTATACTTCCAACTTCTTACGAAAACTTATGGACTACTTTGAAAGTAGAATACAATAAAGTGGACAAGTAAAAGTTCCAATATTTTATCAATAAAGAATGCCTCGAATTGTAAAAGCTGGATTATGAAGGGAAGGCGG